GCAGGCTGCGGAGCTGGTAGCAGCACTGGGGCGGTCTGCAGCAGAATCCCGTGAGTTGTGTTTCACCTGTTTCCTCGGCCAGCAAGAGCACGGCGATGCTATGTGTGCTAGCTACGGTCCAGCTTTTTTAAGGAGATGAGCCAAGAGGCTTGTCACAGTGCAGATCTCTCTGACAGAAGCGATTTGTTATATAGCAGAGCTCCTGCCTGCAGGTGATATAGAACCATAGGAGCAAACAGGAGGTCGTGCGGCACCAAAACACTACAGACTGAGCGCGCTAAACAATGCGCAAGTCGTGACCCTAAGTCCCCTAGGTCTGGCTAAACATCCTTTGATGAGATCAGTTTTATGACAGCCACCTGGATCTCAGAGATACAGGCTGGCGCCTGCACGCAGCAGCCAGAACCAGAGCTGCTTGGGGACATTTTAAAGGGAACTACTTTTGTCCAGAAAATTGATTGAGCAAAATGAAAACTGCTCATGAGACGAGATTTCCCTTTCTCAAATATCAAAAGAAAAAAATCATGATGGTCAAAATGTCCCTTTTTTGTTATTTTTAAAATGCAAAACGTCCTTGTTTGGGGCTGAAATGACATTGTAAATTTGAGAATTGGGTTGACGGTCATTTTGAAAGTTGAGAGAGAACGGAGATGTTGTGTTTGACCAGACCCAGGTTTTGTGTTTCAGATCTTCGGTTCATGAGCGTTTTCAAGGTGTCAACTTTTTGTTTTTCCTCTCCTAATTCCAGGTGGGCAAAAATGTCAAAGCCTTGAAAATTGTCAGGGGACAGGGAAAACCATTTTCTATTCCCTCCTTGCCATGCCCCCAGTAACAGGACAGAGGTCTGGGAAACTCCATACAGCTTTGCCTCCTTTCCCACTGAACCCAGTGGTATCCTTTAAAAGCCCAATAAAGCCTTAATATATCCAGCTAGGGCGTGTGTAGACAACACAGGTGTTAATGTAGATCGCCCAAATTAGAAAGCTATTATATATTACACATTAATTACGCATATTTCACATGAATTACACATATATTATATAGTACACATTACACATATATAGCACACTTTAATTACACATTTCACATGAATTACACATATATAGCACACATTCCACATATATATTACACATATATTATACATTACACATGAATTGCACATATATGTTACATATTACACATATATTATAGATTGCACATTAATCACACAAATATTATGCATTAAAACCAATGTTCAGCCTGCTGGTTCAGGACAGGCCACATAACTTTGCTGTCAGACTCCATGTTTTTGGAGTTTTCCATCAACTGAGCTGCTCATATAATATTGGTTCCAGCTTGGTAGCCGGTCCAAGCAGAAATTACAAACTTTCCAGCAACTCCAGCTATCAGGTTGGGATCTGTTGGTATTTTATGGGTCTAGTACACCTGGTGCAAAAGTTGTCCCCTCGATGAGTATGACTTCAGATCCCAATAAAAACCACATCAGATCAAGGGTTCTGGTAAGATTAATTTTCTAGCGGTTATTAAAGGCTGAAGCGAAGTGATAACAGACTGGCTGGAGGGTGAACTGGTAAATATAAAACCCAGCGTTTGAGATGAAACGAAATGGGTTTTGGGTGTCTGAAAACCGTCTTTGCGAAGAGCCTGACACTGCTTGTTTCTTTTATTTTTTTTAAAAAACCTGATTTTGTTTTCTGCCCAAGTAATGTCAAGGAAACGTCTTGAATAGCTTTCTAATTCCCGAGGGTCCCAGAGGCATAACTTTCGGAAGGAATTAGATTAACGCTTATGAAAAATAAATTACAGTCTGAGTGCTCGTTAGATAATTTTGAACAAATGTATTGATCTGTGGCAGGACTGTCAGAAAATAGAAGGGGTTGGGGGGGGAAATCACCGGCAGTGGCATTTCATCTGAAAACACAATGTTATTTCCCCCAAAAAACCCCAAGGAAATGAAGAGGCGCTTTCCTCGGGGCTCGTCTCAGCGCTAAGTGGACAGGCCGGGCAGGATGAAGGAGGAAGGAAGATGAAGGCAGGGAAGTGCTGGGGCTTCGTGCCTCAAAACTGAGGCATGGCGGGCCCCTCTCCTGCCACACATACAGAGGCTCTCCCAAATTCGCATGACGGACGAGACGGGCAAGGCCCTGAGGGGTGTTTAAGCCTGAGCGCCGGCAGAAGAGGGAGAGGTCATCTTTGCCCAGGGCCGATTCCAGTCCTTCGGCCTGATTTCACGGGCCTCTGAGTCTTTTTTGAGGGGCTCGCAGGGTCCTTTCGGTGGCAATATTTTCCTTCTACGCCACCGTCACACGGCCAGTGGAGCCAGTCCCACAGGCTGCCCCCAGGCCCTCTGTGCTGCTGCCTGCGCAGCGTCGCCCATGGGAACCGTGCTGCAGGCCGCATAACGAGCCCTGCTAATTAGCGTACCCACAGCACCTTGTGAGCATGCCCAGCTCGTCCTTTTGAGGCAGTGTGGGATGCTTGAGGGCAGTGGCACAGACAGGGCACCATGGCAGCAGGCTGAGAGAGAGCCTCCATTTTGAATGGCGACGTTTCCAGATGGTCTCCTCCGTTTTGAATGGCGCCATTTTGAACAGCGCTGTTACCAAGCTGTCTCTTCCTTTTGGCAGCTGTGTTTTATTTGTGCCCTTCAAATCCTCCCAGACGGCTGTTGATGCCAGCACTTTGCTCTCGGTAGAGCAGCCACGGACTCGCCCCTGGCCTGCCCGAGTCTCCATCAGCTCCTCCGCCAGGCTTGCCTGCTTCCATTAGTTACCGCTGCACAGTCCCCAGGTCCTCGATGCGTGTGAATTTGTGCATTCGTGCTCAGGAACAGCAGAGCGAGCGACCTCAGTTTGTCCATCACTGCAGTCACAGGAACCCAGGTGCCCCAGAGAAGATGAATCCCTCCTAAATGACCCTAGGCTCTGGGGGAAATGCCTTCTGGTCGCCTGAGAGGGTCATTAGCGCTCTCCATGGGGAGTCACGGCCATGTCTGGCTCTGCTGCAGGCGTGTGACCGTAGGTGAGCCTCTTAGGGCCAGAGCGTGATCCCTTTACTCACAGGAGCGATGCTGAGTGGCAGCCGTTGGCCCTTTGCCTCTCAGTACACAGTCCCGCTCCTTTCTTTCTCCGTGACTGGTCACATCTATTTAGACAGGCTTCCTGGCGCAGAGACCCGCTTGGCGTGTCATGCATTTGGAGCCACGATCTCCATTTGGGAGGCTGGGGTACTGCTGCACGACGGTGGATGAATAACACAGACACGACGCCAGTGCCTCCTTGGACAGGCGAGAGGGAACTGCCGCTGTTTGTTGGCGCTTCCACTGCCCATCTCTACATGCAGCACCTTTCGGAGGGCTCAAACGTTGGCATATTCGCCCCCTCCTCCCTTGTAACCTTGCACTGTGTGCACCACTGGCTCCATTTGGGGTTCAAAGTAGAGCAGCTGAAGCAAGGCTCCCTCGATTAAAAATTTGCCGCGCATTAACTTTTGAACGGCACGCACCCGCCCGGAGAGGAGCTGGGCGCAGAGCATGGCGGAGGGACGCTTACCGGAGGTAAGCTCTTCACTCCTCACGCGGGGCAGGCACCGGCTCCTCCCCGAGGCGCCGTGTGCCTCCTCGCCCCCCAAGGTGAGGCAGCGCCATAACCACGAGGGCATTTGCAATTGGGCATTTGCTTGCTGATGGACAGAAGAGTGGTGCAGCAGACGCCCACGACGGCATCGCTGCATATTTGACAAAGCCCAAATGAACAGCAGGCCTGTGCAGCAGCACGAGCCCGTGGGAAGTTGCAGGGAGTGGTCTCTAACACAGGCGGAAAGAGTCACGATCTCGCAATCTCCCATCTGGAGAAAGCTGGTAGAAGCCATCTGAAACTTGCCTTTCTGACCACCCTCAGCTTCTCTCCCCATTTCCATTTCTGTGTTTTGGCTGTGAGGTTTAACCGACACCAGGGTTGTGAATTAAGCACCAGGCGGCAGAGGCCCGGGCGCTGTATCATCTTTTGTTGTAATGCTGCGTTATACTGTGGGGCAGACCGAGGCGGCGCGCGCTGAAAGGGGTAGGTGGGACCAATTTGGGAACGGAGCGAAGTGGCGTGCTCAGGGATCGCTACACCTTAGCGGGAACATCTCGTGCACACAAGCCTTCTCTCGTGGTCCTCTAGCTGCTGAAGTACCCTGAGAGAAGGCTTGTGCGCATGAGGTTTTTCAGGCAAATATTGCAGGTGTTGGAGGAGCACGTGGTGGCATGTCTCCTTGAATTACATGGGAACTGCAAAGCTCTCCACGCATCACCCCATTCCCCTTCACCCAGCCCCTCCTGGTGGCAGCCTCAAGAGGAAAGGAGACCCAGGGTGAAAGCAGCTCGTTGAAGAGCCTGCTCCACTGCGCCAAGCAAATAACACTGCTAAATCCCCTGCTTTGCAGTGCGGCTGACCCTCCTGTAATCTAGATAAACACCATGTTTCTCCCTTTGGCCCTTGGAGCCTGGCTATAACTAATGCACTCAATTGCAAGATTGATTTTGCCTTGAGAGCGTGGTCAGCAGAAGCCAGCTCCTCGCGGAGCAGCGGGCATACGCTTGCTAGCAAACAGAAGCTATTAATTGATACACAGGAGTTTACAAATACAAAGTGTATTTTGGCCTGCGCTGAGTCATTAATCCTGCGTAGTTTTTATAGCAATAGCACTTTAATCACTTCTGCTTGGCTTCGGGGGGTTTTTCCCACCCCTCCCCCCCCATAAGGAAACGCTTTTTACACTGGTGTTAGGATCATTTTTATGAACAGGTGCCAAATGTGAAGTGCTTTCCAAATGAAAACCTGTTGGGCATGTCTCTGCCTGTGCCCAGGCTGGAGTACGTCTAAAACAAGCTGTGCCATGCACATGTGGAGTTTCCTGTCGAACCTGGTAGTTACACAACTTCTATTTGAGGTGGTTTGAAATTCTTCTGTGGCTTCGTGTACAAGCACCCCGTAGTGTGTGTTTGTGGCTGTCTGAGCCTGCGTGTAATCCAGTGCATTACCTGTTCTCAGCTTTCACATATTTGCTTGCAAGCTGCCTGTTGCATTTTGCAGAAGAGCCACTGAGCAGCAGGAAGAGAAAAGGCAAAAGCAAATAACAGCTGGTTTTAAGAGAAGAGAGGACTTCCACTGAACCGAACGGAAACAGGTCAGAGCTCACTTCTGCTCTCTCCCAGTTTGGGTTTATCGGTGTGTGGGTTGCTCCCTGAGGTCCTGCGTTTGGTAAGGTCTGTGCAGCACTGCTGAGGCACAGAAGAGCGGAGCCCAAACCTGTACTCCTTCGAGAAAACTTCCACTGGGAGCTGGCCTGAGTAAGGAGAAGCAGGTTCAGGTCAGAGCAAGCTCCCATTGCCTGATCCCAGCAAGTACACGGTCCTCTTGTAGCCACCGCAGAAGCAACAGCTTTCTCTAAACAAATATTTCATTTTAATAAGCCTAGGAGGCTTTGGCAGAGATCAGCAGTCAGAATGATACAATATTATTATGTATGAATTAATTATTATTGTTAGGACAGTCTCCTGCGGTTTGCGCAGTGTTTACTCACTCTGTTGCCTGCTAACTTCAGTAGGCATTTGCTTGATAAAATCTGAATTGAAAAGTATAGGTGAGCAAAAAGCTCCTGGCAAGCCCTGTAGGTGAATTGTGTCTGAGCAGCTGCAGCTTTTCGCAGATTTGCTCCATTTGAGGAATATACTCAGTCAATAATTGCCTGGCATGCAGCTAGGTTGTGACCTCGGCTTGTACCTGGTGGCCTTGCTTCGTTGTGTCTGTCTCCTGTTTCAGTAGATGTAATGCCAAGCTCCCCGAGCAGAACAAGATGTGAAGCAGCATGAAGGAGCCTGATGTCACCCCCGATCATTGGGATCTGGGGCTCTCTCTTATTATGTATGTACAGCCACTTGTACGCTTAATCTTGCAATGGAATCACAGAGCTGGAGGAGACCTCCAGGGTCACCTAGTCACTGCGGGTTCAGTCATCCTAAACCATCCCAAACGAAGCCCATCCAACCTCGTCTTGGAAACCTCCAATGAAGGAGATTCCATCTCTTCCCTGGGCAGCTTGTTTCACTGCCCTATTGCTATTACAATTAGGAAGCTTTTCCTGAGATTTCATCTAGATCTGCACTGCTGGGTGAGCATTGCAAACTGGACCTAACAGCCTGGAGAATTCAGCCCCCAGAATCAGCTTGCCAGCCAAGACTGAAAATAGCCAAGACTGAAAATGCAGGGTTTTCTTTTTGTGAATAGTCACTAACAAATGCTTAAAATTTGCTAGGTTTTGGTTGAAGCTGTGTTGGTCTAAGGACATAGGCAGGCAAGGTTCTTTGAGTAGACAAGATGTCTTTTACTAGACTAACTGAGAGTAATTGGGAAAAAAGTGCTTAGCAAGCTTTCAGGCTCAATTGCCCTTCTTCAGGCATAAGAAGTCTCTGCTGTTCTGAGGCTCCAAGCAATGAGAGAAGCTAAAAGTGTGACAGGATGTTAGTGAGACTGTAAATGGGTAGAAATATAGGAAAACAAAAGGTAGAGCAATAACATTTGCTATTGCTCTGAACATTCCTGCCTAACAAGAGGCATAGCAGAGTCTCCATGGCAAATGCATGTCATGGCACATGGGATCACCGACCTTGTTAAAAAACTAGGCTCTTGCTAAAGAAAACACATACAGGCACATGCAAAGTAGGTTTGCACACAGCTTGAGTTCCAGCTTTGTTTCCCAGGGACCCACATCCTGGAACTTCTGTTCGGCATCTGGAGATACCTGGACCTACTGGCTGCATAGTAGACTACAGGTGAGCAAAGCCATTGCAGGAGAGGTTCGTGAATGTAGTGAGGAATAGGATGAGATGAGATATGTATCTGGCTCACTGAAAGAAGTCGCCATTTGGCCTGCTCCAACGAAGTTTTGCAGTGCTAATTCATTGCCTTGGGTTGGTGGCTGGGGAAGTAAGTTTTTGCTGTGAAAGCCCAAGACTTGAAAAACTTGTGCAGTGGAACGCAAAGCTTGTGTTTCCTTTCAGGGCTGAAAGCAAACACATCCGAGGAGCTTGACAGTCCATTAAAAACAAAGATAACGGAGACTCTTGGTGTCTCTCTGTTGGCAGCAGCCTGGCTTCCCGTGTTTACTTGATAACGTGATGGCGAGCGCAGCAGGCACAAATGCCTTGCAATAAATAAGGGAGCTCTCTGCCCCGGCTCTGGGTTAATCTGGCTTGGGGAAAATGGTGAAGAGCACAATCTGGTAAATCATGCTTTTTTTTTAATGTAATGTACAATTTACAGTACAGGGGCTTTATAAATAAAGAGCAGCCAGTAATAAGATATTTATCACTAAGTGCATCACACAGTGGTTTATTTTCCATAAATTCTGCCAAGGGTGAGCAATTTCCAACCACAGCTGCAGTCCCCTGGTGTTATCGATGCCTGTGTTAATTAGATTTAGGTTTGCGTGTGCGGTTGCCGGAGAGAGAGGCTCTCTCTTGCGTGGCAATCAATACCTTCATCCCATATCTCAGGGTGCAGACGCCAATCTGTCCACAGGGGTGGCATGTTTTTCCTAGTGCCTGCTCAATCAATTAAGTTTAGTTCAGCTGCAGATTCATCACTACGGGCAGCATCAGACTTTGAAACCCTGCTGAGATCTTCCGCAGTGGGGACTTCTCTCTAAAAAGGTCCTGGCATTGTCTAGTATTTTAGCTTCTCCTCAGACACAGCCCGGTGTGGAGAGACTGTGACAAAGCCATATCTGATGTACCTGGATAATATGAGCTGATGGGCAAGAACCTAAAAATATTGAAATGTAACCTAGTTATTGAGAGAGACTTTGTATGAGCTCTATATAAAGTTATAATGTGGATAATGTATCATCATGCTTGAATTCAGTAGGGGTGGCAGGAGGAATAAATGGGGAGTCAACACCATGATTTCCCAGCTGAGGCCATTGCGATGCATGCTTGAAAGGCCATAGTCTGGTGTCAGAGATGCTATCTCTAACGTAGGTATCTAGATATCTCCGATGCCCAATGAAGGGTGTTTGTGCCAGAAGCTTGCAATTAAAGATTTTTTTTTTTCCAAAAATCCTGTTGGTCTAATAAAAGATACCACCTCTACCATGAGCCCTGATTGCCATCTCCAGTGCAGGAATTTTCTAATCAAAGGCCGCAATCAGTTGATAAGTATCTTGAATCCAGCGACAGGTCATGGAGGGGGAGAGAGAGAGGAGAGTAGTCACTGACTAGAATTAGATGTGGAAAACATCTTTCCTAAGAAGACTTTCGGTGAAGGAGAGTAGTTGTGACAAGAACGTGGTATGGGAGATGCCATTCTTGACTGCTGTGAACCCAGCCTTTCGGTGCGGGCTCTGAGGGATATATGTATGACAGGTGAGATGGTTGGTTGTCGTTTTGGACCCCTGCATGGCTGTAATCCTGCATCCTACCTGTTGGACTCATCCCAAAAGGCTGTTGTTAGGATCCCTGAAAGATCGGAATATCAGTCGCTTGGTTTTGGTCAGTCCTTCATGCTAAAGGTCTTGAGAGTGCCCTTCATCCTTCTCAGTGGCCACGTGTCTTTTTCAGAGCGATGCCCCATGATATTCGATAGCATTTGCAAGGCAGGCAGCAGTCCTGATCTTTTAAAGCAGCACAACTTTATAGACCGTCCTTTCCAGAATATAAATTAGGCACATAAAGCAGTAGCTTTGCTGAAATGTGCAATGTAGTCTAAAGAGTGTTTAATAGTGTGATGCAGTAGTCGGCAACACATCTGCATGCAAAGGGACAAAGGTTACCAAAGTAATTACCTACCAGCACTTAAGGAGATTAGGATGTACAAGGAGAGAGGGGCAGGAGCAGGTTGCATAGATGGTTTCCTGAACTCAGTTGCATCTGATGTGAAGCTATGACAAAAATTGGTTCTCCCTTTTGTTGGAGCTGAAGCTGACAAATTCCATTGTGACAGCCCGGCTCCGAAAACCCCATTTGTACCACGACCTTTAGCATCTCTAGCTGCTATTAGTAGAGCAGACTGGATGGGTTGAGGGCATGGAGAAGTGAGAGATGAAACCTCTTCAGGAACAGGGCAGCCCTACCCTTTTACAAATTCCTGAAAAAGAAAACCAGGCTTACAAGATTAAATGATCCTTTTCCTTCCCTCCCCCCTGGGCTCAGGTATTATATTCCTTCTCATGCAGCAGTTTTCACAAGAAAGGTGACAAAGCTCTGCTGTTTTGAAAGGATTGATTTCCTATGAATGACTGCTTTACAAACCTGGGTGTCAGCATTGTAGTGTTAATTCCAGGTCACCAGCTCCCTTATCCTGGGCGTCCTGATTGGCTTCATCCTCCCAGACTAGCAGGAGCCATATCCTATTATACCGTGCTGTGCATCTTAGCCATTATCCCCAAATTTCCCATAAGAGCCCATATAGCACTGTATGTAGCATGAAGGGTCTCCACACTGACAATTGACATGCAGATGAAGGTTATTCATTGAACGAGTATGTCCTCAATTCATATAACCCATTTATCAAAGAAAATTAACTCATTGACCTACTCTGCTTTAGGAAACTCCGAAGTTTTAAAAATTGGGCCTCAAATTCCTCCCTTGAAGAAAAGTCACAACTTTGGTTAGCAAGAGACAGCTGGCACCCTGGGTGCTAAGAATTCACTCTTCTTCTAGACAGCAGAAATAAATTGTGGTGAAGGAAAAGGGTAGAGAAATATTTCCATGCCAAGCCACGCACTATAAATCCAGGAGGCCGGCAAAAAGAGCTGTGTGTTAGTCTTCAGGTGCAGTGGCAGGGGCATTATTTTGGGAGCTGTCCTGCCAGACCATCATGCTGAGGAAGAAATGCAAGGAGAAGCCCAAACCAAATGCCTGGATCTGGACGGACTGTGAATTGGAAACAGGCATTGCATCAGGGAGTAGGATAAATACCTGCAGACACAATCAAAAGACTAGGGAGGGGAGAGGCAAGGATTTTTGTGGGTGATATCTTTTATTGGCCCAGCTGCATCGCTGGGAAGGGCAGAGACAAGTTTTCTGGTACAACATACCTTTCCCCAATACAGCTAATTTTTTGCCCCAACTCCTGATGACTTTAGCTAGGACTGAGCTGCCGGTCCTCTATGCATTTGAAAGCCTTTCT